TGTCCGCGTGGTGACCGCGTAGTGACCGTAGTGACCGCGTAGTGACCGCGTAGTGACCGCGTAGTGACCGCGTAGTGACCGCGTAGTGACCGCGTAGTGACCGCGTGGTGACCACGTAGTGACCGCGAAGTCTCTCTGGATCGAAGAGACCGCTTTTGGGTCGTTTCTGACTTATTTTGCTCCTTGGTCCAATAGCCTCCTTTTCCCATATATCTCGGAGATTGCCCAGTCCCTGCCACAGTATCTCTGGGCGTGTCGGAATCGGACCTCTCAGCCCATTTGTCTTCTTGGTTATGATCTCCGTGTCATTCGACTGTCCAACTCCACATCCAGCACTTGCTACATGCACAGTTTGCTTCACCCTGCTTTTTACGTTGCAATGTCGTAGAGTGGTGCATCAGGATGATCTTGGCAGATTATGTGGGATCTATGAAGCCATACGTTGGACGTCAGTCGTCGCATGCATTGGATCATGCTTATAAGCCCGTGGTTACAGCCTTTTCGGCAACATGATGTCGCGGAATTTGCACAGCACCTCCTCTTTCGCCTGCGTCTTCCTGCTTTTCAGGGCTGCTGGCATGCTCGACGTTTTGAGGTGGGGCGTTGCACACTTGCAGATACTGGCCCCTGCGCCAGTCCGGTTACCATTCCACTGCAGGGTACTGCTTCGCTACAGGATTGCATTGACCAGTGGCACTTTCAGATCTCCTCGGCTATGCATGCCTTTACATCTGGTGCCTCAACGATCCTTCTACAACTTATGAGGTTCCATGCAGAGGGGAGAGGCCGATGGAAGCGCACAGTTCAGAGCTTGCACAAAATTTCTCGTATATTGGACGATGTCATGGTTCCCTTTTTCGCTGATGATGACTCACCTCAGTGCCTTTTTTTGCGATTCAAGGTCACCTCCATCATTGCTCACTTTGGCGACAGAGCTGACTCTGATCACTATCCCTGTCTTTGGAAGGAAAATGACACTGCTCTTATCACTGACGATGCTTCTGTTGCACAGCTCTGCACTGCACAACAGCTGGATGAGATCTCTGGGAATGCGTATCTCATATGCTTGATTCGGCACGACAGATGAGGCCACTCTTCTTCGATTCTCTGAACACATGCGATGAGCTGTGCACTGACGGCTATTATAGCCTGGTGCTCGTAGTTTAGCGTTCCTGAAACCCGATGCTACGTTTTTCGCGAGGCGGATCACTCTCTCTGCTGCGTCTGGAAGAAATGTATGTGTGTGTATGTATGTATGTATGTGTGTGTGTGTTTCTACAGAAAAGGACGCACATGCAGACTCGTATTTTGAATAGACACAAAAAATTGACGAGAAATACCTGTGCCCATTAGTCCATCCATACATCCGTCTGTCTGTCCGTGCGTCCGTCCGTCCGTGCGTCCGTCCATCCATCATCCGTCCCTCCGTCCATCCGTCCACCCGTCCATCCATCATCCGTCGCTCCGTCCATCCGTCCACCCGTCCATCCATCATCCGTCGCTCCGTCCATCCGTCCACCTGTCCATCCATCCATCCATCCATCCATCCATCCATCCATCCATCCCGTTTTGAGTGTGTATACATATGTATGTATGTATGTACGTACGTATGTATGTATTTCTGTATGTATCTGTTTGCATTCACTGACTGACTAACTCCCTCGCTCACCCACTCTCCGACTCACTGATGCCCTCCCCCACTAACTTGTACAGTCAGTCCCTGACGCACTGACTGATTTACTCAACGCCGCCATCACTTACCTGCTTCTTCACGCACTCCCTTGCACCGTTTGCAACATTAAGTGGTCTAGGCACAGGCTACGTGCTGTTTTTTTTTTCCAGCTGTTTCCCTCGAATGCTGAACACATGAAACGGTCCTGTTCAATGTGCATCTTTGGTATGGAAGAAGGTTGGGACGGAGGTCTGCTCATGGTCCGATTCTTTCCGCAGCACCTGTTATTATGTTGAAGTCCCATACGAACTTAACCAATCGACGGGGCCCATGGGCTGCCCGGGTCTGGTTTGTAGCACCTGCATGCTCGCGCAAACGGGCTCCGAAGTCCTTGGGTCTGCTGAGGGTATCGGCGGCTTCTCAGGAAGCATATCTTTCAGACAACATCCTGCTTTTTGGAACCGGAACCTTCGGAGCTCATTTGTCAACAAGGCTCGGACCGCCTCGAATGATCATGAAATGATTCCTGCCAGTTCCACGAAGGCCCCAGCAATACGGCAGGCCCCACATGCTAGAACATCCATGGTTCAAAAACAGTTGAATCTGGTGGTCGTCCTTGAGGATTCATGTAGGTTCATAAAGAAGTGCTTGGGACTTGTGTTCGCATTCGCGCGGACGCTATGCAAACCAGAGAGGGGGTATGTCCCGATCTCGTGATCTCGCACATGTTTTGATTGCTGCAGATTGTTCGACAATTCTTTCGAGCTTGACACAAGTAACCGATTGGAGCGTTGACATCTCAAGTAGGAGGATTAGAGGCATTACCCGGCCCTCCTTTGGTTTCCATCAGACTTCCCGGCAATGTGCAATGCCGACGAGGGAGGGAGCATAGAGGACTTGCCTGTCTTGCTAGGGCGGTATGCTGGCGACGTCGAGAAAGGAAAGACGGAATGGGAGGAGCCATCGAGCAGAGAAGCCGCAGACTCCCGAAGGGAGTTCCTGCCAGCTCGGGTCTCTTCGCACGCGTCACAGTCCGCAGAGTGCAGCGAGCGCCTCGTTTTGCTCCTGGGCGCTGCTTTTGCACTTGCCCAGGGCGTTACGGCACCTGCGATTGCGCTTTTCACTGGGGAAAGCATCGCAACCTTGACCGCTGCGAACCCAACGAAGGAGCAAATTCTGGTAGCCATGGCGCCCGCTCTCCTGCATGTCGGGGTGCTGGCGGTCATCCAGTTCTGCTTCGCATTCGGTTGGCAAACCTGTCTCGCCTGGGCTGCTGCCAAACAGGCACATCGCTGGCACCGTTGTTTCTTGGAGGCGTTCCTGTCCCAAGACATATCTTGGTACGACGAGAACGAGCCGGCAGGAATGGCAAGCAAGCTTGAGGCGGATGTTGCGAATGTCTACGTGTTCATGTGCACCGCCCTCGGTTACCTGATTGCAAGCCTTGGGCAGACGATGGCTGGCTTGTCTTTGGCCTTGTATACCGGCTGGCAGTTGTCCCTGGTAGTCTGCGCAACCATCCCGATCCTGGCGTGTGCTGGCCACCGCATGGGCCGAGAGATTGAGCAGCAGACATCCAAGCAGGTGGCAGACTTTGCTCGAGCGTCTGCCGTGGCGGAAGAGTCGCTGATGGCGATCCGCACCGTGGCAGCTTTCGGAGGTGAATCCGTGCAGTCTGCCCGGTTTGGAAAAGAGCTGTTGTCAGCGAAGGAGGGTGGCATCCGGTCCGGATGGAGGATTGGTGCTTCCTGGGGCGGCCTGAACTTCTTCTACTCTTGCCTGTACGCATTGGCCCTCTGGTTCGGTGGCCATGTCCTCATGTCGGAGAACGGTGCCTTCCAGCCCAACGACGTCGTGATCGTCATGATCGCCATGATGGTTGGCAGCTCAGGTCTCAGCGCATTCAGCGGCTACGCCCCAGTGATGGCGCGAGCAATCGTGTCATTTAGAGCCATGAAGGAGGTGATGAAGTCCGAGCCCACGGCAAAGACCATCGAGCAGCCGCTGTACAGCAGCGCGGCGATGCCAGAGGAACTTTGCGTAATCGATAGTGTCGAGTTCCGAGCTGTCAGCTTCAGATATCCGACTAGGCCCGAGAAGTGCGTGCTGAACGATTTCAGCTTTCGGGTGGAGAAGGGCCAGAAGATTGCGTTCGCCGGTGAGAGTGGGAGTGGCAAGAGCACCATCATGCAACTCCTCGAGCGCTTCTACGACCCCTGTGCTGGAGAAATTTTGGTGAACCGAGTTCCTTTGAAGGAGATCCCAGTGAAGGCCTGGCGCAAGCTGATCGGCTACGTCGGCCAGGAGCCTGTTTTGTTCGCAAGCAGCGCCATGTGCAACATCAAGGCCGGGGACGACTCCATTACCGACGAGGCTGCGATCAAGGCCGCCCAAGTGGCGCAGATCTACGACACCTTGCAAAGGCTCCCCGAGGGCTTTGACACCTTCGTTGGTGCAGCTGGCGGGATGTTGTCGGGAGGTCAGAGGCAGCGAGTTGCCATCGCACGCGCCTTGGCCAAGAATCCGCAGATCTTGATCCTGGACGAGGCAACTTCGGCTTTGGACAACGAGTCGGAGCGGTTGGTTCAAGCCACTTTGGACACCCTTACGGAACACCTGGGACACTTCACCACGATCGCCATTGCTCACAGGCTGGTATCGATCAAGGGCTCTGACGTGATCTATGTGCTTCGCGATGAGCACTGCTGTGAGCAGGGCAACCACGAAGAGCTCATGGATCAGATGGGCATCTACTACAGCATGGCGACGCTGCAGCAGGCAAAGACAGAGGACAAGGAGGAGGAGCCCAGTCCGAGCGCGGCGATGTCTCCTGCGAGCTTCCTTGCGGCACCCTCGCTGTACAAGGAGGGTCAGGCGGGTGAGGATCCCGTCTCCAATTCTGGCATCCGTTGCCGTCTGCTTCGCATGATGAGGGCCTACTGGTGGATGTGGCCAATTGCTGCCATGATCGTGATGGCAGATGCGGCTTCGATGCCCTTGCAAGCCGTCTTCTTCAACTCGGCCGTCGTGTCACTCTTCGACGGCGTCGGTGTGGGCGACACACAGGAGCTGGATGAGGCGGTCTTTGGCCTGCTGATGGTCGGCGTGGGAGCCGGTGTCTTCACCTTGCTCCAGAACTCGCTGTTCACCTACTTGCAAGAGTGCCTTTGCATGATCCTGCGCAAGGCGGCCTTTGCCAGCACAATCCGCATGGACATGGCCTTCTTCGACGCACCGGAAAATCAGACGGCCAGCATTTTGGTATCCCTGCAGAGGCACATGAACCGCGTGGGGCAGATGCTGGGAATTCAGGTCGGATGCATGAGAAGCAAAAGTTTTGTTTAAAGCTCCCCACCCTCATACTGGAGCAGACTTCGTTGACTGGCTAAACCACACAAAGAATCATAATAACAGTGACACAGTGACTCTCTTAGCCACTAGCCGTTACTTGCCGAAACCCCACAATGTGCCCCCAGCTTGGGAATACCGCCGGGGCCCTCTTCACCTGCCTCCTGGCCGTTGGCGTCAGCTTCTGGGGCTGCTGGGTCCTGGCCAGCGCGGCCTTGATCTTCTTGCCCGTCTGCGGTGCTTCTTGTTTCGGCCATCTTTAGTGTTGGACTGGGATGGTGTGAGCGGCGCGTATATTTTGAGGATTCGGAGGCTTTTAATGCGGTGAGAGATCCGTTGTGCTGAGGCTTTAGCTTTCGTGGTGGCAGCGGGCGCCGCCCGGAACGAGCCTGAGGCCGAGCAGGCCTACGCCAGGGCCGGGCACGCCACCTCGGAGGCTGCGACCAGCATCCGCACGGTGAGGGCGCTGGGGGCAGAGGAGCGCACTCTGGAGATCATCGACGCCTCCCTGAACAGGCTCACCGAGCTGAATGCTGCGAAGAGTTGGAAGCTGGGCCTTTCCTTGGCTCTGAACATCAGCCTCTTTCCCATCATCTTCCTGGTAGGCTTCTGGATGAGCGCCGTGAGCATCCAGTCCTGGGGTTTCGATGCTGGCGAGGTGCTTTTGACGCTCTTTTGCGTGGTCTTTGGGGTGATGTCCGTCAGCTCCATCGTCCAGTACATCCCTGATTCAGCCTCCGGCTACCTTGCAGCAGCGGAGGTCTTCCGCCTTGTGGACCAGGTCTCCAAGATCGATGCCACGCAACCCGTGGGCCGCGTGGAAAGCATCGGGGACGGCTCGATCCAGTTTCAGGAGGTGCACTTCTGGTATCCCCACCGCCCCGAGGCAGGGCGGGGCTGCCAGGGTCGAGTGCAGAGGCAGCAAAGTGGTAATCAGAGTAAAGCTTGTAGGATCTTATAGGTGGAAAGGTTACGTGAGTTCTTTGGCAGGTCCGGGTGCTGAAGAAGCTCAGCCTGACCATCGAGAAAGGTCAGTCGGTGGCTTTTGTCGGCTTCTCGGGCAGCGGCAAGTCGACTTTGATCCAGCTCCTCCAGCGCTTCTACGATCCGCAGTGCGGCTCCATCCGTGTCGGTGGCGTGGAGTTGACGGATTTGAACGTGGCCTGGTGGCGCAGTCAGCTGGGAGTCGTGGGCCAGGAGCCTGTCCTTTTCGACATGAGCCTCGAAGACAACGTGAAGTATGGCTACCCGGAGGCGACAGAAGCCCAGGTGCACGAAGCAGCGAAGGCGGCCAACATGGACTTCGTCTTTGGGGGCGGCAGTGGCTATGTGTTGTCGGGCGTGAACACTGGTGCAGTGAGGTGGACGGACCGAGTCGGACTCCGTGGGGAGAAGCTCTCAGGCGGACAGAAGCAGCGCGTGGCCATCGCCCGGGCGCTGTTGCGGGAGCCCCAGTTCATGCTCCTGGACGAGGCCATGTCGGCCCTCGACTCCGTGTCGGAGAAGCTGGTGCAGCAGGCGATGCAGGAGACAAGGATGGGCAAGACAAGCATCACCGTGGCCCATCGTCTCTCCACAATCCAAAACTCGGACAAGATCTTCGTGCTCTCGGACGGACGCCTAGTCGAGTCCGGCACCTACGACGAGCTCATCAGCTTGCGTGGCAACTTCGCCACCCTTGCAGCTGGAAGCCTGTGATACCTGTAACAGCGATTGCGATTTCGAGGACAGTTTATAAACTTTTATCTTGCCAAGAAAGGCATCTGGCATTGCGCAGCCAACAGCGAAAGGCAAGGCGGCAAGGCCCGTTCTGCCAGGTGTTAGATTGTATCAACTTGCGAGGCCCCACGTGTCTTGCCCCAGCGTCCCACCTTGCTGCCTCTACAGGAGGAGCAGCAGGGGTGGGATAGGGCCAGCAGGCTCTTCGTTGTGCGTAGTTGGGCTTGGAGCAGGCTTGGACGAGTCATGTTCGCCAGAAATAAGTTAAGTCATGATCGTAATGGATTTCGTATTCTGATGTCATGAACCGGCTTTTGACAAAGCTTGGTATTCAGCCCTTGCACGTTCCCTTGGTCGACCGACCCATCGAATTCTTTACAACAGCGGACGGTTGGGAGAGGGCTTCTGCTGGAGGAAAGCACCGGCCAACCTTCGTCCGCGAAACTCGCACACACTTGTATGTGCACAGCTCAGATTGGTTCCAGAATATGGATTTCCAACTGATGCGTCTTTGCAAAAATTTGTAATCCAGGATCCAGGCCACCAGACCCCCACATGTAGGGGCTGTTCCAGATTGTGGTCCCCGTTGGGATAGCTGCTTAAATAGCCATGACAGTCGTAATGAGCACCAAGATGCGGGGATCTCAGTGGGACCCGAAGTGAGAACGGCAGGTGGACATGCAGACTGGCGTATGGCAGAGCCTACGTCTCGCAGTGCCAGGCTACTGAGCTTTTGAGTCTCTTAGCTCGAGAGACAGAAACTGTCGGTTTGACACCTCAGATATCTGGGCTGCAAGAAATGGTGTTGAGCTCGAACGGATGATGATGAGGATTGATAGCGGGTGGTGTGCTTTCCTTCAGATTCTCAGTTATGACTGACCGTTAGTTTCTGTGGTTGTTTGGCTTCCCGACACCCCATTCCTTGAATCGAGGGGGGAGTCCAAAGGCTGCGTGGCTTCTTCATGTGCTGCATAATGCCCCCGGCTCGGGGCACCTGTAGGCTTTGCTGTGCTTTTGACTTCGAGGATCCGATGGGAGAGGCCTAGCCGGCCTAGCGGTCTAGCAGGAGGTGGCTTTCTCACTTTGTCCGTTCTTGTGTGCGACTTCTGTCATTGTTACTGTTCATTCGAAAAACTCAGATTGCAATGCGAGGCTGGATGATCACGGGGTAGTGCGTGGCAAAGGTTTTAAGCTCGAAACTCCGAGCTCCGCGATATATATGTGCCTGTGCCCCGCGAGCCATTTCTGCTTACTGTCCCGAGGGTGCGGACCAGTCTGCAACACAAGTCTGGAAAACTTCGGCTGGCCTGTTCGTAAAAGATAAGCATGCAGCCGCCACTAGCCAACCCTTGTACGACACGAGAGTCCCGTTGCCAAGCTCGCAGTCCCAGACTCAAAGCGTGACAGATACTTGACAGCATTTCTTGGTACCATGAATCCACCCCGTCACAGTCTGAGGAGGCGCTTGTGGGACCGGGGTACCGGGTACAGGAAAAGTCTTCGAAGGACAGTAAGAAAGAATGAAGATAAACATTCTGTGACAACCACAGCATCGTTGTCCCAGTGCTGCACTGTCTTGTTTCATTGTGTGTGCGACGAGAACTAGTACAACCACCAGAAGAAGACTAGCAGGTGACTGCGTGGCAGCAATAGTCGGGAGCTTGCTTGACCAGTCAGTGTAACGATGTGAATCGATTCATGAACGTAGCAGGATGCAGCAGCGTTGGTAGTACCGACAGCAAAGTTGCTGCCAGCGGGCGGGGTGCTTGTTCATCAAACCCTGAAGCAACATAGTAGCAAAACAGGTCGTATTTTAGATGTTCGAGTTGTGTCCACGGTGCTTCACCGAGCATTGGGGGTGGGGGAGGGGTGGAAGTGTCCTCCTTACATTGGGGCCTCGAGATGGTGTGTGACGGTGGTATGCGGGAGACCTGTCTGAGCCGATACCTCAAAACTCCCAAAGCCACTTGTCGCAACCTTGGTCCTTGGTCTTCAGCACGCCTTGCACGGCCCCTAGCTGCAATGTCCTTTACATGCCACAACCCTGTCATTAGCAGTAGCATTTGTCTATCCGCTAGAAGGTTGGTTGGCAGTGTCCTAAACGGCCTGAAGCGCTGAACTTTTCAAAGCCGCAGGGTTGAATTCCAGATGCCTCGGCTAGACAGCCGCAACTCCGAACACTCGAGTTTCATATTTTGTCAGAGATTCAGAGATGCTCCTTTTTTTCAGATGCTTGAAAGCTCTCTACCGCCCAGCGATGGAATCACTTGCGAACATCCTCTGAGCGCCCAGAAATTCCAAACTCCAGCACCCCAAGCTCGAACTAAGTATCTTCCGCAGCTAGGGCCATGTGGCGGTTTCTTCTGCTTCTCGTGCCGCTCGGTTCTGCAGCCGGGTCCCCGGGAAAGTTCGGTCTGGTCTGGAGGCCTTTCTTGTCAGTTGGGGCCCTGCTACAGAGTTCCCTGCTACAGAGTTCCATGCGGTTTCGGGAACAGAACAAGGCAGCTAGTTTCGATCAAGCGTGACTGTTAATCAGTTCACAATCATGAAAGGAAAATGGACACTGTGGGGTCTGCACTTGAGATTTGGGGTTGGGGTTTGTTGTCGGCATTTGATGTACGGCATGTTGTCTCCGGATTCGAGAATACTGTGCTGGTTTTGCTCCGGGACGTGCTTCTTGGCGAGTTTTAGTGTCATTATGTAGATGTGTGATTGCACGTATTGCCGCTGCTGCCGCTGCTGCCGCTGCTGCCGCTGCTGCCGCTGCTGCTGCTGATGTTGACACAACGGCACAAGCAACACTTGTGCTGCTACTTGATACTTTGCAGCGATGATGATATCAAGGTGCTCCCGTCTTTGCTCTGCTGTGTCACCTTGCAAGACCTTCCCACGGGCAGAAGATCTCTATGTGCATAATTTCTGATGTCATGCCGGATGCGCTTTTGTTGGTTTTGGCTTCCGGTCTGCAGGCTGCGAAAGGCTCCTCGTCGCCGCTCATGCAGGTGAGCCTGGGAGTGTGATAAGAACATTGGACTGTGAAGCAATCGTCAATGCACGTACTCGTGTCGTCGCTGTAGCAATAGCAGCAGCAATTTCAGAGTAGGAGCAATGAGTGAATTGGACGGATGACGCCTACTTTGTCAGTCCTGTGAGATGAATGTGATCCTTCAAAGCCTTGGCTACAGCTTAGAGTGTAATTCAGAGTCATCTTCCGTAAGGACGTCTTTTGGGATCCAATGGGTCACCCGGAATGTGGGGACCCGGAAGATCGACCTGGACCTAGAAGCCCGAGACATGAACCAAATACTGGAGCTGTTTCAAGGCTTCATAGTAGCTTCCTCAAGAGAGTCGTGGAGCTTTTGCCACAGGCGCTAGATGCGACACTGGTGGAAGCGGAAGCCGTGTCCCCAAGCCGCTGTTTCGGACTTCGGGGATGCTGCGAGTTGTAAGGTTGAGGACCTTGCAGGGCGCTCTGCAGGGCGCTCTGCAGGACGATGCAACGGAGTGGGTCAAGGGCCCTAGGCCCGACTGACTGTGGAGGCCAGCCGTGCTCGAGTTACCACTCAACAGATCCGCAAACCTAGCCATAAGTCTCACAAGGAAGCATCAGAAGCGGCCGCGAGCATGTCTCAAGTCCCTGAGCCTGCAAAGGCCGCGGCTTTTTCGGTGTATCTGCAAAAGTCTGAGCCCAGGCGCGGAAAGTGCTGGAGCCGCACATGGCTGCGATCAAATCGCTGGAGACGGAGGCGCCGGGTGAGCGGGGCGGACGGGTTGTAATCGATTCTGATGGCAGCGATTTCTTTTTGCAAATGATCTCTTCGAGGCGACCTTGTCACAATGAGCGCCCTTCACTAGCATAGACACTTCTCCAGAACCCCAAGTCTTGCGCAGAGCCCCGATTTAGTGCGAGGACAGAGTTTCAGTGAGTCTACCTGGCAACGTTTGGTGGGGTCTGGTGAGCTTTCTCGAGGGGCTGTTTCTGAGCGGAGGAAGCTTAAACACACAGGAGCGATACTGGTGCTGACCGCAACATGTCAGTTCGTTGAGCAGACCATCCATAGTGCCCGACAAGCAGAGTGGGAACAAGCGAAGCTTCAAGCCACAGTACCTCCTGTGCTGAGGTCATCGAGCTGGTTGTGATGCGGCAGTGGCCCGGAGCTCCAGCTTTCCAAAGCACGTCAAAGTTGAGTGTTTCAGGATGGGAGGGTTCAGGATGTCGGAGTTTCAGGATCTCTTGGTTTGGGTTCGGGTCCGGGTTCGGAGTTGGTTGACTGTTAGTGGCTAAGGGCGTTGGGCTGTGAGGTTGGGGCAGGTTCTGTTCTGTGCTTGCACAGTTTTCACAAGTCTATGAGGCTTGGAGGCAGACAGTATTGCGGGTTCCGTATGTCCTCCAAGAGGATTTCATCTCAACCGCTTCCGGCTTGTCAGCGATGTCTCAATGGACTGAAGTCTTAACATCTTCAGCCAAGTCAGGACGTTTTACAACTCATACGATCGCCGGCCATAGCCTGAATTACCAGCCTCATGGTTCTTCTGAGTATGTCTACCTTGGTTGGGGCTCTTGCCAACGCTCCTTTAACTCGTTGCTCGTGCTTTTAACTCCGAGGTGGTCCCTGGCGCGCGAGCTGGTGGCCAAGTCCCACGAGCAGAAGGCCAGATCACACAAAAAGAGGCTTTCTTTCTGCCCCGAGAGACTGGCACCTCACTCCCTGAATGCCAGAAACCTACGGCCTGCTTGCGGCCCTAGGGCCATTGGGTATGCAAAGGATCCCCGCTGGGTCGATCCTTCAAAGATCTTGGATAGCTTCGTACCGCCGGAAGCCCACATCCAAGGCTTGACTTTTGGGGAATCGGCCAGGTGGACTTGTCCTTCTCCGTGCGGAAGGCTGTGCGGAGTCTCAAGGACCTCTACTGAGACTTCGTTCGAGCTTGGGGTCCAGGAAGGAGACTTCATGCTCCCGGCCATGAGCCTTGAAGAGCTCCCCGGGTTGCAGAGTCAGAGTCTTTTTGGACTGTCTTGTATCTGGATGCGGCAACTCGAACTCTTCACAGGACGAGGCTGATGAGCTTCTCCTGACGCTAGATCCGAAGTACGGACAAGTGCAGCAGGCGCAAGACCCACCTGGAAACCATGCACTCATAAAGGGTTCGGTGAACGGATGGTTCAGGACTCTTGTCTGTTTTTTTTTTGCGGGTGGTAGAGGGCTTGGGTGGCTCCGGAGAGATCTTGGATTGAGATTTTAACAGATCCTGGGGTCAGCAAGCGTCTAGCTTCGCTCATCATCTCGTAGAAAGTCTCTGCACGCCAAAAACCATCATGAGAGGTTCGAAGCCGCGCAGGTCCTCAACCCTCAACACAACTCGAAATTGACAGATGGGTGAGGACCCGGAGCCTTGCATAATCGGCTCAATTCATAAAGCCAACGAATATCAAGAAAAGGATGCATCGCGAGCAGTTCCCGTCCAACCTTAAACCCCATTTACTCCTCGCTTTCGGCAAGGTCTCTCCCTCCTTCCAGTGGGCACAGAATGACACCGCGATCTTCCTCTCTGTAAAGCCCGGGCACCAAGGAAGGATCACGGTTTCGCAGTCAAGTCTCAATGGTAGCCCCCGCCGTAGTTTTTCTTTGGGATGATCAGTGTGAGGCTTAGGCCTCCCTGGCAGGTACACGGTACGCTGGAATGCGCCGGGAGCGCTGGAGGCGATACGCGTTTGTGTCGGCTCAGCCGTCACGTCGCCGCATAAACCTTGACACCTGACCCTGCAATCCTAAATCCCACGGGCTGCTAAATTGCCTAAATCGCTGCGGCTTGTGCCTTTGCCTGATTTTATGTCCGAAGGAGCACTCTCGCGATTGTTTTGATGCTTCGGTTGATCATGAGGCCCTTTAGTTCCCCTTGTCACCTTGTTCCTTGTTCCGACCACGGTATTGACAAAATCCTTGGGTTCAGGTGCCCCCGCGCCAATGTTAGGACCACCCGCCAGGAGCCCCAAGACTTCAACCTCTCCGCAAGCTGCATCAGGTCACTGACCCGTCGGTGAACATGACGGGAAATGTTTTCAACTTCTCCGGCCTGGGAAAGCATTCCAACAACAAGTGCGCGCTAGTGGTGGTTGAGGTTGTGGTCTGATCATGCTAGTGACTGGTAGTGATTGTCATGGTGACTACAGTGTGACGGTGGGGATGGTGATGGTTGTTGGGCTGTTGCCACAAGAAAGCCTGTTCCCATTGTCCTGGGTAATGCCTATGTAGCCCTAACGCCTACTGTGAAGGAAAAGCGGTCAACGTGATGAACTGCAGGTACAAGTACTTCCTTTCCGTCAACCTTTTCGACAACATTGATGCCGGGACCTTGTATTTCTCCAACCCCTAAGCCCATCAAAACCTCACGCGCAAACCATGAACCCTCAAGAGAGGTCCTGTCACAGATGCCGGTTGAGGGGATTACAGCCCGCTTGAGTCACAGCCGAAGCTTCGTCGGTCTCGGTGTCTAGGATTTAGATTATATAGATGTGTGGGTATGGAAGCTTGGCATCATACCGGCCCTAACTGCCCAAAAGCTTTTAGCCTAAAGCCTCAACCGCACCCGTCAACGCAAAGACTTTACGACAAGCTAGACCCTGAATTCCTTACTAGTCGCTGAACCCGGAACATCCTGGACTCTTAAAGGTCCTACACCCTAGGCAGCACACCCCGCAAACTCAAAGGGGAACCCAACGTTTTCAAGATATTCTTTGCTTGTCAGCTCCAGGCGCAGCTCTCTTCCTGGAGTGCGGCCTCGGCCAGGGTGCTCGGACGCTTGTGGCATCTTGGGGCTTTCGACGGGGCTTCCAGTTTTGCCGTCGTATGGCCGTATGGAACTGCGTCCACATATTTGAGTATATATATATATGCATATGTACATACATACATACATACAGACAGACAGACAGACAGACAGACAGACAGACATACATACATACATACAGACATACATACAGACATACATACATACAAATCAACACTAAATAAGCAAATGCATGCCTGCATTAATATTTGTATACATACATACACACACATATCTATATATACATACACACTCATACATACATATCTGCACATGCACTCACATATCACATGATATATATATATATAGATACACATGTATGTATGTATGTATGTATGTATGTATGTATATATGCATATATATATACATACATGTGTGTGTTTTGCGTATGTGTGGCATGTACACTTTTTTCAAGTGTCCGAAGGCTTTGCCGTACTTACGCGTTCAAGGTTTCAAGAATCGGTTTCTGCGGTTCGGGGCTCTGTTGTTGAACAGATTGTAGCGGTGCATAACAGTATATGATAATCTTGGTTCTCTTTGTAGAGAATGCTCTCGTTCATCATAGTATACAACTCAGAGAAGGTGGTTTTTCAGAAGTTCGAGGGCCAACAAGCTTGAACGAGTTTCTACATATCCTGTACTCTCAGTACTACGCGGGACCACACGGAACTTACGGCTTTTAAACCCGAGATCAGGTCGGCAAGCTCAGCGTCACCCTGCGGAAGCGGTGGCCGAGGCCCTTTCAACCGATATCGCCCTAAAGAAGCAATGCTCTCAAATCTTGCTTCGCCATGTGATCCAAGTCCCAGCCATGTGGGCGCCTCGAGTTTTTATCTTTCCTGATGTGTTCCTTACGATGATCGCTTCTTTTTCTCCTTTCTAAATCAGTCTCTTTCATCATTGTGGAAAGGGGCGCGGGCATTTGGTGTCTTCGGATCGGCTTTGTTACCATTCGTACTGACATGAGTTTAATGTTCCATGTCTTGGCTATGTCAGTACTATGATACAGTTACGTAGGACTTCTGTTGCTTCTGGGGCAAGTTCCTTGTGTATAGATAGCTTTCCTGCTGCACGAAAAGACTTCTGAATGTCCCCGATTGTGAACCAGTCAACGATTTAACAGTTAACATCATTCGGGAGCCGAATTTTAAGATCGAAGATCCAGGCAGCAGATTCTGGTGCACGTTCGATGTTAAATCTTGGACCGGCCCCCCGTTTGAAATCAAGTTCATCTGACAAGACCGTTTGAACCACTTACAAACGGTCATGGGGCTACAGAACGGCAGTATGCTACCGTACAAAATCCTATCAGAGTAATGTTAGCATATAAGAGCATATCTGAATACACGAGCATGGTAGCCCGCTTTTCCTTGCAAAGATCCACTTGATTGCTCTTCCATAAGGACTTTTTTCTCGCCAGTTCGTTCCGCGTCGGTTTTTGAGTGTTCTAAAGGGGTTTGAGGCATGCATGTGTAGAATGCGAAGTAAGTAGGCAGAGCTGTAAATAACTATAGACTGGTACTTCTACACAAACTATTCCCAGTTGTGTACATTTGCCGATCTTAACCTTGTTACTGCAGTTTCGATTGATATTGTTGTTATTGTTATACTACAGGCATCCAGGTTTGTCAGTAGTGGGCCAAAGCCCTCAACTTAAAATGTTTGATTCGTCGTTGCTTTGGCAGGAAGTGGCCACGACTCTTAGTAGACAAGAAGACCAAGATCGGCAACATGCACCTTTGGATGGAGATGCAGGAGCCCGGGGCTGTGTCTGTACACCCAGAAACGGTATTCCTGAAAAGCTTGATGGAAAAGGTGAGCGGGCTGAGTCGCGGTTTCTACTGATGGCGAATGGGCCACCTACAGCTTGAGTGAAGCACGAGCGTGATAGTCCGATTGATTCTCTACGGTCCGAGACTCTACAACAACCTCCAGAATCCAGGCCAGACGCTCGAAATTGAAAGGATGCCGTATGCTGCCATTTGTCAAGCCGACAACTAAAGACTACTAGCGACGATTCCCTAATGCAAGACTCTAAAGCCAGAAAGCACGAAAGCACAGGCATATTCTTCGAATCCCGGACTCTTAAAATTTCCACTGGTAGCTGTATCAATATTTTGCTGAGGTCTTGACTGGCAGGGTCGTAAATCATTCTGTGATGAGGAGAAGCTGGACTCCAGCCTTTCTGGCCTCAGCTCTGTGACCAACTCACCGGTGTCCTGCGGCCAGATGGGGAAGCTGTGCGGGCCTCAGAATATACTGAGTTACAGACAGTGAGCGCGCCACTCCGCAAGCTCGAGAACAATGCTTGCTGCATTAGCGTTCAGTTTAAGCTGCAGGGCATGTCTGGGTGTAGGCTACCGGGGTAAACTGTTACCGGTTAGCTGTTCCTTGGATGAGGAAGCGGTGGTCCGGTTGGTTTCGACGTCAGAAGGCCACTGGCATCATGCGATGTCATTCTTATCCGATGTGCAGCGTAGCTATTGACCGCCGAAGGCCCAATCTCCCATGCGTCGGGGTTGCGGATCGTGTAAGGTACTGCATGGCAACAGACACCTGCAAGAAGTGGCAGCCTTGGCGATACATTGCCGGTTGCATGGCCATTGCGATTTTCCCGAAACCCAGAACTAGAACAAATTTATCTATCAGCTGCATCACTGAGTCTTCAATGTATTTTGTGCGACGGGAGCTGAGTTGACGACGCAGCAGTAGACAGAGCTGTGATCCTGACCATGATTATTCTGCGGCCCTTCTCGGGAGATGATCTGTGGACGCTGCAATCTTGGAATGTCCTGGATCCCCAATGCTACGTCTGAGGAGACTTCAAGCAGCAACCCTTCATGGATTGTTGAAACTACGATGGTGATTACATGCATTGTGATCTTGTTTATCGACAAAAATCTCACAGTGCAGGCCTTCTATTTCTGTTACCATTGCCACTCCGTTTGTTTGCAGCTGTTGGGGAAAAGCTGTCTTTGTCGACCTTACGATTGTACACGATTGTTGTTCCTAGTGCCGTCGCTTCATTTTCTTTTGGGTTTGAATGTTGTTTGGCTTTTCTCTCAGTGTAGGTACCCACCGTTTCCTTTTTGATTGGATATATACTCTGCCCTAGGCCCTAGGCTTTCCTACGTCAAGGTTCACACGAGTTCCAAGAATTGTCAGGTCAGATGCCTGCACCCAGTGCCCTGGAAAGTCAGAGCCCGATGAGAAGGCACATCAGGGAGCCTGTCATGATGACGCTGAATCAAGATTCCTTTGATGCTCTTGATCTTGTAAGCCCTAGACTAGCTTCGTGCGGACCAACTAGTGCGTGTTGTTGAGCTGATAAAGCTAAGCTGCTGATGACCAGGCCAACCTGTGCGCCGGCAAGCCCACCGAGAAGGCTGGGCAGAAGGTAGAGAGACAGGGAGCAAACTACTTTTCATGACGTTTGATGATGAATGCACTGGGATGCGATGTCGCATGTAGCAGGATTAGGTAGTTGTTAACAACTTAGCTATTCGACGGCTTGCTTGCCTCTCCAACGGCTCGTCTCCCCTTGTCGAGCACGCGGCAGACAAACTTACAGCTCTGCGTGTTTGTGTACACAGTCGTTTGCATCTCTGTTGTGTGCACTGCAAGCAGAGCTGATGGAGCTGTTTGTATAGTGTTTGTATGATTCGTCTTGCTGCACACATGCAGACATCGTTATGACGAAGAGATTGGCGAGAACAGCGGACCTTCATGTAGCCGACGTAGAAGGATTCTTGATTTCAGGATCCCTGAATACAGTTAGAAGAAAGAATCAACTTGGCGACCTGGGACTGCAGCCTTCGCAAAGGCATCCCTTAGCTTCCAGGACCCGTGCGAGGGACGCGAGATGTTATTGATATTGGCTTGCTCGGAGCCTGACGACGGTCGAGTTGGGTCGGTGAGTTTCTTTACCTTCGAACGGAATCTGCTTTGAAGCTGCTGCCCTGGGAGCTGAACCCAGTGCAACGGTTAACCATCGATTGACCATAGGACGCCGACATGGATGAAAACCAGCTCAGTGGCGAGGTGAAGATCCACAAGGCTGATCTGGGATGCGGCTTGGGGCTCACTGTAGGGTTCAGGTGTGCAGGGTTGAGGGTTTAGAGGTCTATAAAACGCACCGAGAGTTCCAAGTCTCCGCCAGGCCCGGAATGACTTCGACGTCGACACCTATGCCGTGTTCTGGGGCAAGGCAGGCGGTGCACTGCAGTAGAAGAGGTGCACGTGAGGGATTTGGGAGTTCCTCTTCGAGGCTAGGGCTATTTTAGACATGGCGAAAATGCTGGTGCTGATGCTGAATGGTGTTGGGATGATGATCTAGAATCTAGATGTGAATTTGAATAGTGATGATGATGATGATGATGACGATGATGACGATGGTGGATACGAACGTGTTGATCCCGTCTGAAAGATGGTGCTATGAAGATGTACATTGATGTTAAATGTGGGGTGGTAATGCTAAGTGATTGCAAGATGCTCTGTGGACATTCTGTGGACGATCAGCAGGCTTACATCCAAGAAGTTTGAGAAGGCGAAGAGATCCGGAAACTTCTGTTCGGCCTTTTGAGGGTTTGGAGTTTCAGTGGTTTATCGGGGTCAAGGTTTAGGGCCTATTCAAACATGTGGTTGGGGTTAAACCAGTTAAACCTGTGAGGTCTAGAGAGGTTATCGCTCCTGGTTGAGCGATTGCCTGGCCATGCTCGCACTCAGTGAGCCCAGGCCCAAGACCTTGACCAGAGGACTCAGATGCCTTCCTTTGAGAGGGCTGCCTCCTCCCTATAACTTCAGACGCGATACCTGATGGTTGAGTTACACACCACACTGAAGTCCCTCGAATAGGGAGTTGCCGAAGGCAGGGGATCCCTGAACCTAAACCTGTGACGAATGGGGCGCCTATGGCTAAGGACCTGTTCTAGGCATCTTTCATTGTGAACAACGGCCAAACTGGTAGATGGAATTGCAGCAATCATCAGATCAATGACCACCTTGTCAATGTTCCGACCATTGATACTACTGATACTGATGACAATGCCACCTTTTCACAAAGCTATGGAGCGTGTGGTGGACGGCCTGAACGTCGTCTGGTTCGGCGCGGCGGCCGGCACCTTCGTCCTGGGTGCCCGCGGATTCACTCGACGGAATCTTCTCAGGAGCGCTCCGAGCCCGGATGCAGTCACGGAGGTTGCGGTCTACACGATGCGGTTTCTGGGAGGCATGAATGCCGGCTGGATGTTGCTGTTTCTACTGAAGCTGCTGGGCAAGCAGGGTTTGGGCGAAGGAGCGGCGGTTCAGTACCTGGCAGCCGCCCTGGCGCACTTCTCGCAGTGGCTCTTCAATACGCGCCTTGCCACGGGTACGGCGCCACGGCAGCTGCACGTCCGCTTCTCCAAGGAGATGCGCTTCATCTTCCTCACGGACTTCGCCATGGCGCTGCTGAATCTGCGCCAGGGTTTCGCTTCCAACAGAGGCCGTGACGAAAAGGCAGATCACGCAGCCGGGCAGTGAAGGTCTCTTCACGGCTAAAGGGCTTCTCTCTGGGAGATGTGTTCTGAGATCAGTGGCCTCGAGGAAGCTGTCGATCTCCACGTTGATTCGGAACTTGACCCCAAGCCTAGACCCAGGTCCTAGGTGACTCTGAGGCTCGCTGCGGGCTGCGGGAAATGGAGCCGTTCTGGACACCCGGCTCTTTGCTTTTGGGGTGTCTTCTCTCGTCTATAGTCTTAGCCCTGAAAGCGTCTGCAAGCCCTCCGCTCGTTTCCTGAACTGAACAGCGCGAGAATCCAACGGCGATGAGCCCGACACCCCTAAAATCCCGAAAGCCAGGCATTCCCTGCCAAGCTCCAAGCAAAGCCCGCAAGCGCCAAAACCAGCAACGCCTGAAACCCGAGACCGTAAACTAGCCAAACCCCTATGAATATTAGCCCTCCGAACTCAAAACTCAAAGCCCTACACTTTCCGAATTCCCAACGCATCCAAAGCCTGCTTCCAGAGCGACTCGGCGAAGCTGGAGTCTCCGGAGGGCAAGGAGATGCTGCTCGGGGAGGTCTCCCTAGCGCAGAGGGTTTTCGGTCTTCAGGACTTGACCTTTTCTGGGCCCCTGGATTTCGAGGAGTGGTTTGGTTCAGGCTGGTTATCAGGTCTTCGACGAACCCAAGGAAAGCTCAGAGACCCCCCATCGCTACCGGTGGACCAGAGGGGATTCTTCTTCAGCCCAGACAGGATGGAAACCCCAAGGAAGCGGATGGACTGAGGCAAACGGCGGCAAGTGGCAGGATTGGAACGAGACCAGCTGGCTCAAAATCAGTGTGGCCTTTCAGGCCCAAGGCTGCAGCAAAAACCATCAAATCGCAGACTCCGGAATCAAGATCCTTCTGAGAAGCACTCCCGAAAGTCAGAGCCCTGCTATCCCGAGCCCGCTCCAAGCTGAGGTCAGCTCCAGTGGCCTGGATGTGGAGTTGCGGCTCCCGCCAAACAGCCGCATCCCGGAGGGCGCCCAGAGCCCGATTGACAGGTTAGAGTTTAGGAAGTTTAGGGTTTCAGTGGGCTTGGAGACCTTCGCCTTACCGGTCAGCGCTTGAAGTATGGTAGCAGGTTGTAGGAAGATTGGGAGAAAGATGCACGCAAGAGCTAAGCCGCTAAGCATGCAAACTAATTGTCAGCCTATTGTAGCTGACCGAAGATCTGAGCCCTCAGCAGGTGCCACGCACCTGTTAGTTTTCTCCCGCAATGCCTACGGCGAGCGAGGGCCTCAGGATCTGGAGCTGCACACGGAAACGACATGAGACCCTGAGAATCGTTTGAAGATACTTCGTCCGGTGCGAGATTCCTGGAGGATTCCGCAACATCCTTCCTCGTTTGACTACGGCATGTCATCAGACAATCGTTACAATTCCGACGTGACATGCACTGTCGATCCCAATCCTAACCCATGCACATGCAGCCCGGCCCGAATCTGTTGCCTAATAAAGCCCTCAGAGTCTGTAGAACATGTCATTCCTGATGGCCACGAGATGTCACGAGTTTCGGGTCGATACGGTGCTTGTCCGTGTTTTTTGCTTCTTTTATTTCAACAACATGGCCGTATATATCATTTCCATGAATGTTTGTTGTCTCACGACATGCAAAATCCAATATTTCTGCAGTGAATGTTGCTGATGTATCTGCAAGGGAAGTCAGTATCGCTTGCAACGCACGGCTCGCACCAGGTTGTTGCTGCGGAGTTCGTTGCCATAGTGTAGCTAGTTTTTTGGTGTCCCCACACAAAAACGAGCCTGTGAGTTCGGTTCCAGATTGAAAACCCGAGGTACTCTAGCCCGGGCTCCCTTCTGCTCCGCGACGCTGCGTTGCCGAAGGCAAGGATTGGTATCATCATGGTCACACACGTCGCAACAGCCATGACAATAACGCTACAGAGTCACGCTATGTCACGCTCTCTGTAGTATTTCAACCCTTTTGAATGAGTCCTCGTGTTACACCCTGGATTGCAACAACTCCGAGACTCCCCCCAAGTGCTCCTTGCAGGTGAAGCCGGGAGGCCTCAGCTTCGAGGATGAGGATGGTGGTAAAGACATGGCCACAGCCCGAAACATTCTTGCACTAGGGCTAAGCCCGCTGCCACAGTTCCTGCATGCAGAGGTTGTGTTTGTGTGACTGCACATATATGTGTTTCAGAAGCAATCCGGCTTGTTGTTTGTGGGTGGGTGATTGCGTGTGCACACAAAACGTTTGTTGCAGAACTACGCTAACTACGGGAACTTTGGCTGCTTGTTTCGCTTGCGGTGCTGCCGGTGCTTGTATGGGAGCGACTGCGCTGTTGCCACGGCCCTGCTTGCGGTGCTTGTCTGTTGCAAACGCCAGGAACTCGTCAACAGTCGAACAGATTCCGCCCTCGGTTCATGCGTGTTCGCTTGTTGTTGCAAGCACATGTGTGTTACAGAAGCGAAGCGAGGACTCGGATTGCAAGCATGCGCATGCTGCAGAAGCAAGGAAACCGTGGTCAGGTTTTGCTAGCATTGTGGGTGTCTGATTGTGGTCGCACGAAATCACACAGTCGCATGGTCAGCAAGGAATCGGGGTTACTCTCCCGCTTACAGAGCAACTGTGTGTGTGTGTGTGATTGCAAAAAAGCATCGAAGCCTGGAAACCCTGGTCGTAGTTCTGCTTGCTGCATTTATGCGTGCGCCATTGCACACACATCTGCATTCGCGAATCTGTGGTCACGCATCCGCTTTCGCTCGTATGGTGCATTGCAGCGTGTCTGTGCGTGTGTGTTGCGGAAGAAACGGAACGTGTGATGATAGTGAACCAAATCCAGTAAGTGCACAAAGCGTCCGCGCGGTTGTTAAGCACATGACAGGAGACACAGAAGCATTGACAGGAACGACGACTGTGGTCACAAGGGGCTTAAACCTGCCCAGTGCCTCAAATTCCCGAGCCATCTACAAGATCGTTTGCAGTGCAAGGTGCGTGGGCGGATCACTATCAACAAAGCTGAGAACGAGGAGAAGGTGGGCGTGCCTCCAATGCTTGTAACAAGTCAATGGAAAGAATGGGGATCGTGTTAGCAACGACAACAGCAAGAACCGTTTGATACAGGTGGCTTGTCTGTTACTGCAGGGCTTGTTGCTGTCATTCTGTCGTGTGCATTGTCATTGTCAGGCTGCTCTGCTTCTGCTGCTGCTGCTGCTGCTGCTATTGCCGCCACCACCGCCACCGCCGCGACTAACGCCACTACCACCACCACTACTGCTGCTATACTACTGTTGCTGATGCTAATGCCAGAAGGACGACAACTTTTCCACTGCCTCGCAGCTGCTGCAACCACCGCCAGCAACATCCATCGTCAGCACTTGCCAGAGTTTCAGTTCAGTACTTGCCGACATCGTAGTCTTCGCCATAGCGGTGGTAGGATTAGGAGCAGCGGCGGGCAGAAATGCCCCAAGCCATGATTCCCCGAACTCGAGCCCCGAAGCTTCACAACAAGCGGTTTTCTTCGCAGATCTCCGAGTACTCGCTTCATTGGGGTCGCTCGCCCACTAAGCGCCGGACTGAGCAAGATCACGATGTTGGTGTTGATGAAGCTTAGTTGACCATGTACTGGGTTTAGCATGTCTTCTCATTTGGCGGTTGGTTGCTGGTTATCAGGTCGTAGGTTCTTGGAGCTCTTGGTTGTGAGCTTGTTGCTTTCTTTTAACATGGTTCTGGCAGGGGATCAAAACTTATGGCTGCACTTGTCAAAGAACGTTTGCAACTGCTGCAACTACAACTGCAACTACTGCAACTGCAACTACTGCGGCGATTTCTACTGGTGTAGCAAGTGCAACTACAACTACAACAACAACTACTGCTACTGTTGCTGCTGCTGCTGCTGCTGCTGCTGCCGATGTTACCATCACTACTTACCACTGCCACTACGACATACTCCTGCTGCAGCTGCACTGTGTGCACCAAAGGAAGACAGCCCAGAACTCCTTCATCAGCGATGTGCGGAAGGAGGCGCGATCTTCCGAGCTAGGCACAGGCACAACATGGCACCACACATCTCCGGCCCAAGGCTCGCAGCTTACGCTTACGGCTCTCCCCCTGACCCGCAAAAGATGATAGCCTGAAGCACAAACTCAAATCCCCAAGCTTGAAGCATCTCCAAGGGGTACAAAACGCGGTGTGTGTTCGGTGTCGGGTGTCCCTTCATGTGGTTTACCATCCAAAGCCCAAAAGGTGCACAATGTCAGCATCAATGCAAAGTAAAGCCACCATGCAGGAGGGAAAAGACGTTTCTCACTGGCTCTCTTCGCAAAAGTGCGGATTCCCAGCGTGCCATCTGGAATCACTGCTGAGTTTTAGCCATGAGCAACCCGGCATGGAAGCCTGAAACCCAACCCTGGGAGTGTAGACCTAAGTCATTGACGCCGGGCACTGCGAAGAGCTTCGGCTTGAGTTGACTTGGAGATCGGGGAAGCGAAACCACAAAAAAGAACAACTTCACCGAAACGAAGCAGGTCAATACATAGATCTGCAAGTAAGATATACATGGCCACATGGAGAAGGCTGCATCTATATCCTAATATCTACATCTACATCTATGTCTACGTCATTCTACGTCTATATCTACATCTACATCTACATGCACATCTATATTTGCACTTGCATACGCTCACACACACATACATGTGGACAAAAAGAGAGTTACATGCACATCGACTTAATACAACCCCTTAAGTTTATATAAGTGTATACGTATATGCATGTACATGAATGTTTCAACCTTTCGTTATTGCAGGAACGTAGACATGAACAGGCGTAAATTCACAGTTGACACATGGTCATAAGGTTTCTATGTATATGTGGGTTGATATAATATATAGTTATAGATGCACACCGAGACCCACTTGCATGCATACACAAAAGTATATATGCACCGGTTCGCACGGTCCCATCAATGATGGTGATGATGGCGAACACAAATTTATTCGCAAGGATCTATATTGAACTATGCTGCTATGTGTATAAGAACGTATCTGTACAGGAATGAAGAACATGTATGTATATGCATACATATGCCTGAAGTAACTGCTAGATGTACATGTATGTACACACATATGCTTAAAACCTGTTGTATACAGACAAGCAAGCATACATATGTACGTACATACAAACAAACAAACATACATACATACGTTCATTCATTCATTCATTCATTCATTCATTCATTCATTCATTCATTCATTCATGTGAATACATGCATGCATGCATACATATGCACATGGCAAAATACGAACATTGAGTATTTTGCACCGTGCATACATTTCTTATGTATGCAGGCATGCGTGCATGCATGTATGTGTGTCTACTTGCCTGCAGGTTTGTGTATTTGTCCATCTGACCTTGTATGAATGCACCGATGGATGCATGGGTGGATGGATGGATTGATGGATTGATGGGTTGATGGATGGATGGATGGATGGATGGATGGATCGATGGATCGATGGATGAATGCAAGGACGCACTGACACAGGATGCATCGATGGACGGATGGATGATGGATGCATGGATGGATGCATGGATGGATGGATGGATGAGTGGATGGTTGGGGTGGTTGGGTGGGTGGGTGGGTGGGTGGGTGGATGGATGGATGGATGGATTTTTGAATAGATGCCTGGATGGATGTATGGATGGATGGATGAATGGATGGATTGATGGATGGATGG